CACATGTACGTATATAAACATATGCATATCAAGATATAAATATATATTCTGATTCAGATTTAAAACTTCCAAATAGATAATTCTAAGACAAAATATTTACCCATAAAGAAATACATAGAGGCTGCTCTCAGTCTTTTTCAGCAACATTAATATTAGAAAAAAAAATCAGACAGTTCTGAAGGAAGAAGGCAGTGACACAGTATGTCTTTATTTAGCTAAGATTTCTTTATATAAAAAGCAACAAAAATATCTTCAAATCTGCAAACAGATAAAAGTATGTCACATAGTTATCCTTTATAAATAGTCTTATATAAGAACAATAAGCAAAAAGCAAATAATAAAGAGGAAACTGTGGCTAGATATTCTAGTAAACATCAAATTCAGTTAAACATACACAGAGATAGTTTTGAATAATCATTTAAAAAATTATATCAAAAATTATAATTTTTTTCCTTGAAGAGAGATGATCCGTATTATATTAATACAAAGCAAAATAAACAGGCAGTGTTCACAACCCCATATTCAATGAACTAAAACTATTCATCTGTGTGTGTGGTAGCAGAATGGATCAAAGCATAGAGAATTTTCATGGAGTAGATGTGATTTTAATTTTTATGGCTCAATATCGGTTTTAGAATGTGACAGTAAAAGTTTAAAGAGAAGTTGACAATACTCATTAGTAGACTTAAATGTACCTTATCTCTCAAATTACCACAGGAAAAACTACCAAAACCCCAGGAGTAGAAAAGAAATACTGAAGACCAAAAAATATGAAAAGAGCAAGGCTAAATGTAAGATTCAGGGAGAAAATGTTAGGACATTTAAAACATCCATTTATGAGCTGCTTATAAGGAAACTCATAAAATAAGAAATATGTTGAAAGTGAAAATGTAGATATGATTTCAGCAAATGCAAATAAACAAATTATGGAAGCACAGTAAATGTGATTGATCAGATGTACTAGAAGTTTAGGTGAAAAGAATTAATTAGAATAAAAACAGTTATTTTATATCAATAAAAGTACTATTTAGAAGTAAAGATGTGGTAGTCATAAACCTCTATATTATCCAATTATATAATTCAAATTATTAAAAATAAAAGATGAATTGTTAGTTAATTGTCTTATAGAAGCTACCATGAGCCATAAGGGAGAAGATAACAAATAGAATGGTAATTTTGGAAAGCTACTTGGCAACATGTAGTAACACTCTTAACAACTCATACTATTTGAAGTCAGTAATTCTAATTCTTTCTTAGTTTAACTCTGGCTAAAAACAAATAAAAAAACAAAATAAAAAAGTAATTCTAATTCTAGGAATCTGTTTTTGAAACAAAATGCATGGGTAAATATTTATAAATAAAGGTGTTTACTAAGGCCTTATCAAAATGATAGTTAAATCATGATATGTTCATTTTACATAGCCATTAAAATTATGGATTTGACTAATTTTTGATGCCAGGAGAAAATGCTCACAATAGTACATATTTAGTAATTCTCATAATGATTATAGCATACTTATAAATACATTATGTTGAATTCTTTTTCATTTAATCCTCATAATAGCTCTATGAAGTGGGTAAAATTTCCCACTTACAGAGGAGGAAATTGAGGCATAGAGAGATAATGTGCCCAAGACACCTTAGGGTAAGTGGTGAACATGTAATAGGATCCAGGCATCTAATACCCCCTCCAGAAGCTGCAACATTAATAGGGCTATTATGGAAACTATGCAAGGAATATATATATGGAAAGATAAAAGATTGAAAGGAAGTACATTGAAGTATTAACTATGATTGACCCTGTGTATATGCATAGGTTCAAAGTTTAAATTGATCATCTTTTTTATATCTTTCGTGTATTTTATAATTTGATGACAATAAATATGCATTCTTTTGTATGACCAGAAGAGCAAATTTAAGAGCCAATGAGAGCATAAAATAAAATAAAAATGAACAATATAATTTTCTATAGTTCTTTACGTCTTTTGAATAACTTTCATATTTCACATCTAATTTAATCTTATAATTAGAACGACCTTACAATTTATTATCCAAACTGACTTTTTTTGTTTTTTTTACTAGAGAGTATTATGAATATTTACACCATGAGGACAAGGCAAACAAAGATGTAGACTCACAGTATATAAAACAATTCTGTAAAGTCAACGGTGTTTAGATATCTTAATCCCATTTCAGAACTGAAAAAAAAAAAGTACTTAAAATACTTGATTAAATCATATAATAAAATCGTCATTCCAAAAATAAGAACAAAAGAGATTGTTTTCACTTAGTCCATGGTTTTTGCCATTAAAACAAAACAAAACAAAATACAACAAAAACCTGGTGACAGTTTCCTCAATGGAAAAAAGTTTTGAATCATACAGTCTGCAATCTAGGAATCCTACGATCTAGGAATATACAAAGTTTTATTTGACTTAAAATTTTAAAGCCAATGAAATTTCTGAAACAATATTATACTAAGAAATCTGAGATTTACAAAACAGGATAACTAATACTTGTGATTATAGGAAATTACAAATTCATACAATATATATTCATGTCAGAATTACAAATAGTACTAGAAAAGTGACTATGAATGAAATGAGATAAGCATGTTTAGATGATGAAACGAGAGAACACTTAGCTAAATTATTTTGTAGAAAAGTAGTCATGGAAGGTGGCATTAAGTAAAATGGAAAATATTTTTTATTAGTTAATTGGTTAAAAAGTTGAAAACTTATTGATCAAGTTTGAAGATATCATTAAATAGACAACAGTGAGCAAATGATGTTTACCAATGCTTTAACTAGTAGAATTACGTGTCTGTAAAACCTAACTCTTTGGCCAATGGTGAAGAAAGAAAGGAAATAAAATCCAAAGGAATAAATGTGTGATAAGTATTAATTATAGACCAGGGTCAGAAAAGTGGCAGTCACTGAAAAATACAATCTGCAGATGTGTCTTGTTTTTTAATAATTTTGAATTTGAAACACTTTAAGCAGGTCAGCAGGCATTCTAGTCTTGACATTCCTCTGTTCCTCTCCATCCAGGTTCCCAACCGGGCCTCTACTAGCCCTGATGGTGCCTTGCTGGCATCACTTGAAAAAAACACCTGCTCTGGGAACATGCAACCCCAAGGCACCCAGCTCTGTCAGAAGAGCAGGGTTGGGATTGTGGACCCTACTTGCTACTCTGCCTTGAAATTTAAAAAACGTATACCCTTAGATAGCAGAGTCCCGTAGTGGAAGAGTGCTGGGGCCACAAAAACCATACACCCTTGCAAGGCAATTCTTATTACTGGCTAATACCCTATCACTTCCCACATTGATATTACTTGCCTGGCTTCTGAAGCCTTTTATTATTGACCCTGAATTAGAATTAGACTCTGTCTTTATGACACCTTGTAATCATATTCAAATATAAAGAAATTTAACTGGCCAGTAGATAATTTAGTTTTGAAATAATAGTGAATCAAACCTTTTTTTCCTCCCACTGAATTATTTGAGTTTTTCCTTTATTGACACAAACATCAGTAATAATGGTAGGAGGAAAATTAACTCAATAGCAGAAAATATGGCAAGAGTTTTTTTTTTTTTTTTTTTTTTTTAGGCATCACTTAAAAAGACATTAAAATATTGAATCCCATGTCTAGCTAAATGCATTCTTAAAAAAATATACTAGAGTTTGCACTTATATACAGTATAACTAGTAGAATGACATATCTACTCTTATGCACAACATAAATTACTAATATTTCTATGATTATACTTCAAATAAAAGGAAATAAATGTCTTAAGAGGTTACTGGGAAAGCCATGCAAATGAAAAAGGGGTCAAAAGAGTGGATATGGTGTGATATACAGAAAATAAAAAAATCTTGAAGTTTATATAAAGAAAGTTATGTTGGTGAGACTCCTGTTTACGTGTTTAGGTAGACCAGAGCAAACAGTACCTGCTAAATCAATGTCATTTTAAACAATAATTTAATTTATATACAAAGGTTTATTTTAAAGGTAAATTAATAGTTTTCTTTCCTTTTAGAAAAATATATTGGATAATTAGCTAGGGGAGTAGGGAAGACAAATTTCATTATTGTTGACTCCCAGGTTTGAGAGGGTGAGAAAAAATAACTACTCATTCCATCTTCTTTTGCCTCTGTTCTCCTTTAAGGGTGATCATTATATAATAGTGCAATGCTGTAGGTGCCAATAAACCACCCAATCTATGCATTTTGTGGCATCCTGTGCTTATAAATGTCTTTCCGAGGTTTGTCTGCATCATCTTATAGGCTGTGTTCAATGGGTGTAAAGTGCTAAACACTGAGAGTGTATGACCTAACCTATCAGAAAGTATTAATTAAATTAAAATTCATATTCAACAGAATACAGGAGAAAGTATTCGAATGGATTATCTAGATGATATTGTGTTGTCATCTCCTTTCTTTGGAGAATTTTAAACAGTGCAAAGGTGTGTTTTTAAATGCCCCAAAGATAACCTGGGTATGATTTTACCCTACTAAGGGTTATGCATGATACTAGTCAATGCCTCCCTTAAGCCTTCTTTTACCTGTTAATTTATCCTGTATCCACAGGTTTTGCTCTTTCTTTTAGCTTTGTTCGTATAATAATGACATGTTATCTTTATAATGAGAGGATGAGATAGATCCATTACTGAAAAAGATATGCCCTATTAATGAGTTTCTAGCCAGCTATCAAGGTATCATCAAATGTGGTTTATGTTGGTGAATGAAAGCTTGAATGGAAAATTAAGCTCCCGCACCGACTGTAGAAGTGCAGTGGATCATTTTGTTCTTTAGTGTTACACTTCACTGGACACACTTCACAGAGCAGTGAATCATGCTTAAAATAAGCAGCCTTTACTTTAACGACAGATAATGCAGCAGAGGTGAATAATAAGTGTTAGCAGTCTTAACTTTCTCTTGCAGTACTCTCTCCCGGGTGCCTGATGGACAATTTACAAAGTACATATGCTATTTTATAGATTGGAACTTGGGATCCAGCCAGTGGCCTGAATATGACAGAAAGTCAAAAGGGAAAACCAGCAAACATCACAGATTCCTTATCCAATCGCTCTTTGATTGTTACCACCATTTTGGTAAGTATTTGTTTTTCTATTATTTTTAGATAAATGTACATAAACATGGAAGTGGAAAGAAAAGGACATTATAATTGGAACAGTAATGAACAGAATGTAATGTATTTTACAATTTAGCAATTACTGTATAACAGATGAGTCAATGTTAATTCAGTCACAGTTTTGTTAGTCTTTAATGATGTAAATTATATTAATGTTTGGGCTGTTTATATTGATTAATAATACAGCTTCATGTATTACTGGAAATCTTTTCATTCCTACAAAATTAGTTGCTATTGAAGAATTGTCAACGTCATGGACATGCAGCTATATAAATATAGTTAGGAAAAGAGCCAAACATGAACTTTGCTTCTGCTTTCATTTCCTGCAAATATGTTCGGGGGGTGGGGCATGACATTTATTTTTCAGAATTTTTTCCATCATAATTATATTTTAACCGTGCTTTCAATTTCATTGCTTTCATCTTGGAAAATCACTCTTACTTTACTAATCTTCCTGATAAAATCAAATGGCAAATGCTTTTTTGTAAGCCAGAAATATTTTTGCCACCAACAGAATTAAATGAATACTTGGGAGCTAGATATTTTTACCCCTCTTGTAATTATGTATTTTAATTAGATTACACAGTAATGTTCAGTTATGCTTACGATGCCATTTGCAAAAGGAAATTTTAATTTTAGGATAAAAAAAAAGCTCTTATATTATTTAGTCAGTACTTTTTAGCTACGGAATAGTCTTATCAATGCCTGTTCTTATGAATTCCCAGGTAGTCAGTAAGAATGTGAGATTTATGTCCAGATCAAATGACCAGAAACATTTAGCATTTATATAATTTCTAAATTTGATCAACACTGGCAAATCAAGAGAAATTTATATTTTTGTCCTTTTAGTAACAATAAGGAATGTCAGATCTGTAGGCATGTCAAAATGAAATAGCTTGGGTGAAAGGCTTTAGATGAGAAAACAAAGCTGATAATCATGAAATGACAGTGAAGGAAATCATGAGATTTTTTAATTACTCCCTTGCTAAGAACCTCAGTGAATACTTGCTCCCTATGTATCATATCCAAACTTTCAAGTCCTTCTTTAACTTAATTTTATATCTCCCTTTCTTTCCAAAGATTACTCCCATACCCACCAACTCAGCCCCGTTCTTCAGTAAAGATGTTCTCACAGGAAGCTAAGACATTCTCTTCCTGGTCCATCTGCCTCTATGTCCTGAATCTCATTATCTTCTGCTAGGACTATTGCAGTAATCACATAACTATCCCTTCTGCCTATAGCCAGCCTTTCCCCTTCACGATGCACCCCAGTCCCTACTATAAAAATCTAATTCTGGTCCAGGCAGATGGTAATTGCTTGAACCAGGATGACAACGACAACAGTAATAAAAATCTAATTCTGCCATTTCTCTGCTTTACTGTTATACAAATCTTTATAAAATCCATATTGACCATTAAACCACCCCCAGCCTTTAATATTGATGTTCAAGTTCTTCCACAGTCTTATTGTCTTCCACCTTTCTGTCTTCATTTCCCATTATTCCCTTTCAGAAATCCTGTGTTTTAATTGAATTGGAATAACCAGTTAGCCCACTACGGTAATTGTATAAGCTCTATTCCCTTTCTCTACAATATGTTTCTTTCAATTTCTGAGATATTATAGTACCTGTCATTTCTACATATGATTTACAATATTATATTATTCTTTATTTCGTGTGTGCATTATTTTTCCAAACATCACTAAACATTCCTTGGAGGAATACAATTTGACCATTTCTTCTGTTTTTATACCGTATGAGCCTCTGAAATGCTCATGGAGTAAAGAGTGCTGTGCGAATAATATCTGTAACCTTCAGTAATCTGGCCCCTACATTCCTTTCTATGTTCTCCCTGATCCAGCCAAACTCCCAAATACATCACTTATCTTATGGTTCCAAATCTTTGCTCAATATTTTATATTTGCCTGTAAAAATTCTGTTCATCTTTCCGAACCCATATCAAATGCTACTCACTCCATGAAATTCTCTGGTCTCTTTACTTAGTTGTGTGTGCGTTGGCAGGGGGTAGGGAGTGGGTGTCCACCTTATGTATCATAATACTACATCATTGCACTTGCCAGGCATTGTTTCTTTTTTTTTAATTTTTAAAAATTTGTGCATGTCTGTGTCTTCATTTGACATGAAGCTGCACAGGGCCAATAATCAAATTTTATATTTCTTTGATTTCTCAGTGTCAGAGAAAAGTGCCTTGGGCATAGCAAGGACTCAATAAATATTTGTCAAATTAAATTAAATAACTGGTATTTAATTAAATGGGAAATTAGAGGAAGTACAGAACTTTCAAATGACTATATTTAAATATTTTTCAAGTGTGCAAGTTATTACAATCGTCTAATGCAAACAAAGCAGGTGATTAAGGTTACCCATATAATTTCTCAATCTTGCTTAATTGCACAATGTTATTTTATAAGAAGAATTCACATATTTTTCTCTATCATAAACAATTTTGCACCTAACTATAAACCACTGGTATTTAATTTTAGCTTCATATCAGAGCCAGCCATAAAGCATTAATAAATGTACTGCTACTCTAAACATACTTCATACCATTTAAAGCAGTATTTCTGGGCTTTGGGCCTCGGACATCTTCCTTTTTTAAAGTTCTGCAGGTAATTTGGATCTATAACCATGATTGAGAACTACTCTTCAGATCATTACTTCATGTAACTAAGATGTAAGATCAACTACGATACATGTAGTAAACTTACATTTTAATAAATAGGTCATTTATATTTTAGAATATGCTGACCTACCAGTTTCTAAAAGATTCTATTATTTCCTAAAAGGATAGCATAAGCCACTTCATTTTTATATATCTTAGTCAAAAAAAAATATCTGTTTCTGAATACTCTGATTACAAAGTATCTTCAATCAAGAGAACAGATTTGAAGAGATGATGTACTTTATTTATGTAAGCCTTATGCTTGTTGTAATTTACTGGTGTTTCATTTATATTTCATAGAGAGGTTATGTTCTTTTGATTAATGTTATGGTTATTTTGTCCTTTTCTCTTTTGGAAAATCTCAGAGGAAATTCTGGCTATGTTATGAATAATGACATTTCTTCCAAAGTCTCTCTCATGTAAAGGAGACACAAAGAGAAGTTCACTGATACTTCTTGTTCAACATTTTTATTATATATCCTAAAAGAAAAAATGGTGAAGTATTCTGGAATTCAGCGTTATCCAAGAGCTAATAATAATCATCTCTATTTCTCATGAATTTTAATCATTCATTCAATTTTATTCATTCATTCTTTTATTTGATAAACATGTATTGAATGATGACGATATACCAGGCATTTTACTAAAAGCTATATTTGATGAACAAAATACATATCTTCTCTGCCTTTATAAAATTTAGAAAATGGCAAGCATTCATAAAGAGAACTACACACACACACACACACACACACACACACACACACACACATACACGATTGGTGATTAGGATATAAGAGAAAAGTAAATGGTGTGATGCCTTATTTTATAGGGTTCTCCCGAGTTTTACTGGGGGTCAAAATGGAAGGACATGTCAGGACTCACAGCAGAAGAATAGCCAGCTGAGACTCAAAGTTTGAGAAAAAATTAGCAAAATAAAGAAAGGGGAAAGGACTATCCTAGGCAGAGAGAACAGCATACGCAAGGACCTAATGCAGTAAAGTTCTTGAAAAATTTGCAAAATTGAAAAAACGTCATGATGACTGGGGCCAATGCATTGATCAGTGTCTCAGCTTCATCCAATATGAATGCATGAATATGATCCATTACAAAAAATAATAGCAGACATTTATTGCAAACCTATTATGTGCCAGACATAGTTCAAAGCCCTATCCATTTATTCATTTAATTGTCATAATAACCTTTTGAAGTATATACCACTATTCATGCCATTTACAAGTTGGAAAGCTGATGTCTAGATTGCCTAAGTAACTCCATCATGGTCACACAAGCTAGAAAGTAGAGTAGGAGGGTTTCAACCAATCTGTTTAGTCAACTTGAGCAACTGATACTATCAAATGAAAGTTCTAGTGGTCTACTGTGAAAAAGCCAAACAACTATAATTTATCACCCAAATAGCATCTTGGTTGAGAATTGTTTACCTAAAATAGTGTTTCTCATCCAGAAGTCTCACTTATGCTAGAATACTGTGATGCCCTTATGGATCTGTCCCCAAACATCTAAACATTCCCTTCTCGAGAGTCTTGCTGGGATGTGTAGGGCCTCTAGTTTCTGTCATCCCCAAATTTAGCACACAGCTTTCTTTCAGCCTCTTTAAGCCATAATTTCAGATTCTCCCAGGTAATCCAAATAGTGTTGAAACTTATCTCATTTTTTTTTCTTATTAAGAATTGGGATTGTTTACAAATGTTTTCTATTCCACTTCAACATCATGACCTAGACCTAATATACTGCGTGGGTACAGTACAAAGTTATATTATATCATGGAGTAAATTCATTTTAGGAAGCACTAAACATTCATTTTGTATGTTTAACTTTTTTAGTTTTGAATTAAGATTTATGATATTATAAATTTGGAGATTTGTAGATCTTCATCTACAAGTCTACGACTAAAGTTCAGGTCTACTCTTGTCTTCTTTTTAATATTGTTTGTGATTTCCCGTATTGCCTCACCGTTTTCGTTAATTTTAAGTTCAATTGTTGTTAAAATTCCCTTGCTTCTTATGTTTATCATTATTAATGGAAATAAAAATATCAACTTTAGAATGTTTTCATTTGTGATGATTTCATTTATCACATAGAGATTGTTAAAATATAAATTCCTAATTGCCAAAAATGCTAGCAAAAATACAAATTCTGAGCAAGCTAGAGAGTTTTAAAGAATAACGTGTGCTATAGCTTCAGTTTCTAATCTGGTCCTGTTGCCATTACTGCTATGGATCCATTAGCTAGGGGGAGTATCCAGTGATCGAATATTTA